AGAATAATTTCTCCTAAGAAGGGCTTGCTAAAGGTAAAGTGGTATTATGTTGAGCACATGTTTGATTAGAATAAATATGACACCATGCACAAAGAAAAGAATGGTCCCAACCAATAATTTTGTTCTGAATACCTTAGAAGACATCATCATAAAAAACATATTTCATATGACTTTTCTATTATGACTAGGCACTTTAAAACACACCCAAACAACTAGTTTTGATTCATAAAATAGATTCTATAAAATCTAAATCTTCTTTTAACAATTTTTCTTCCTCAGCTACAAAGATGCCAAACTGATCTAATAAGCATTAATTTTCTCAAGTTTCATTGCAGAATTCTTTACTCTGCAAAACTGAAATTGGTTTTTCAGCTTTTCAAAGTTTCTTTATGGCTCTTCATTCCACATTATTAAAAATTTGATGTTTTCGCAGCAGTTCATAGCGGCGGTTTATAAATCGTTGTTATAGATTAGTATATATAGCGGTTTACACCGCAGCTAAATTTTTTACTAGTTTTTCTAGCATTCATTTTCGAAACCACTGTAAAAAGTACTTTCAAAATTTTTTGCTTTATACCGCTGTTGTAATATCCCTCAATCTCTCTTTCGTGCTCTAGATCCTAAGTTCGCCCTCCCTGTTTGTGACTTTCATATTTACTGGACTGAGCGGCGATACTCCATCATTAATACTCAGTGTCACGACCACCCGAAGCTTCTCTTGGATGTCATATACAACCTCACCGATATATTTTAGTAGTGCCAGTTTTTTCTCTCAGTCGATTACTGATATTCCAAAAACCTGAGAACAAGTTTTTCTTCTCCATTGAATCATTTGCAAAATATTCACAGCTTAAGCAAATGCAAAATTTAGAGTTTCTTTTATTTCAAGTTTCATTGCAAATTCCTTGATTCAATTTTTACTTCTCCAAAGCTTCTTACAAACAGTCTTCAACATTCAAAGCTTATTTCCAAGAATCTTTTTCAGCTTTCAAATATATGAAATAGAAATTTTGGCAAGAGCTCTCTCAGTGCCAAATTGGTTGTAAGCCAAAGGAGTAGTTTTAGTATAAGTTAGTTTTTGATTTACATAGTTTTTATAACATCTTTGTGAGTTTTATTTTTAAGTTTCCTTTAGTAAAATTGCATAGGATTTTTCTAATACATTCAACACTACATAGGTTTGCATGCAACCCAGTAAACTATTCTATAATTATAAGTTCAAATAACAATATATTAACTAATAGATCCTTTAAAAGATTTGACTAGGATATGTGTAAATAAGATTATGACTCTAGGTTTTCTCTTTCTCTAAGTAAATAATGATATTTATAAAATGCAAGTTTTCATTAGCAAGAGATGAGTTCATGATAAAGGAAAGGATATTAAAAAGGAAATAAAATACAACTAAATATACTCACTCCTTCCCCTTTGATATTTTAAAAATATGATAAATAAACAAGTTAGCAATAAGTAAATTTCTATGGATGGAGGAAAAAGAGTTTCATAATGTAATGACCCTTTGTAATGTAAATATTCATGAAAGTATGTAAATTGTACCTCCAATTAATTTTGTTGGTCATGCCAATATTGTTGAGATAATTCATTCTGGCTCTAATTTTTTTAAGGAAAAGTGATATTTGACTTTAAGCTTTATGGAATTTAAGTTCTGTATTCATCTGTCATCAACATTATTTATTTGGTGTTTCTATTAAGGTGGTTGCTTTGAAGATCTAGTTAAGTTGGTATTTGTAATCTTTCTTGTTGTATTTCTTCTTTTTATTCTTCATTTTCATTATCTTCTTGTTCTTTTGCTTGTCACTTCCCTCTTGTTTTCTTCTTTTTATTCTTCATTTTTCATTATCTTCTTCTTCTTCTTCTTCTTGTCACTTTCCTCTATGCTTCACTGACTTAAAGGATTAAACATATAATGGAAGTTTTGATAGATGAAATAAAGGATGGTGTAATCATATGGAAAATAAAAGACAATATTATACTTTTGTTCTAAGTTATTAGCAATGACATGCCAAATCATTAATTAGGACATTTTTTTTACTGCGGGCTCCGAAAATTTGCACCTCGACCTCTCCGTGGACCCTTTCTTTTTCTTCTTCGGGTCTTCAAGAAGAGTTTTAGCATTTAAGTTTCGATGCAAATTTTCAAAGGTAGATTGAATTGTGAATAAAACACTACCCAAAGATTTCACCCTCATTTTGCGAGAACTTTATGATATGAGTTCATGTTTCCTATAGGCGTAAGCCCCTATACTTAATCACCGCTCCCGATAATTAGAGAGAACTTTCGATTAAAGCTAGTCATCAAACAGATACATAGTATCATATAGTAGTATCAACTATCGATGTTTGGAAATTTAATATTTAAAATTGAAAATTCACCACCATGCACTTAAAGTGGATGGTGGACGGGAAGTGATGATACGTCAGATCAAGATCCCATGGTTCTGTTGTCCCGAGTCATCATGATTCTTAGTTTAATTAGTGAGAGGAGGTAGTCAACCCAACCTGAAAGAACGATCCTTTCGGTAACCATAGGTTGCTTTGTCCAAGGGTACCTTGTAGACCTGAGATGAATATTTGTCTAAGGGGACAAATTTGAATCTATCTTAGCTAACAGAGAGCTTTATGCCATATCAATCATATGCTATTGATTTATTACTCAATGATTTAATGTCATGGACGAGCATGCAGGCTTTGACAATGATCATAATATAATGACACCATTTGGCGGTGAAACTATCGGTTAGACGACACATGCCACATTCTTACTAGTAAGAGACGATTTAAGAATAAATCCTAGTAATATTCTCGACCAGACATTAGCTCTTTATGAGCTGAAGTAGTTTTTAATTTTTCCACTCCAACAAACTATTGCGGAGTGTGGACAGATTTTGCCTTAAGCATTTGATGATTTATTTCATTTTAAATATCTTAATTTTGGGTAATTTTTGAGATTTTGAATTTTTATGGATTTTTGGGAGGCATTTTTTAAGTATTTGTGGCCCCCTATGACTGAGATAAATATTCAACACGGTCATCATCGGAGTTTTTATGGATAATTTTATTTTATCGGTTGAACCTTGTTGAAACTGTCTACTTGACGAGGAAGGATATGGATTATTGTCGGCTTTATGCATTTATTAGTGAATTTTCTTTATTATACAACTTGAAAGAATAATATGAATGTATAAAATAAATATCCCGATCAATGTCGCGATCGTATATCTGTTTAATGATTCGAGCTGTGTTGACTTTTATCTTGTTCACATATAATGATCAGGCTCAAACTTAAGTTCATTTCTTGGCTGGTGCAGCTTTTTTAGACGTCACGTGTGGGCATGCATTATGCTCGTCGAGGCCCATGCGGATATATGTTTTTGTATGCATTGCATTATGCATTTATATGATTATTATACATATGTAGTGGATATATATGATGTATATGCATGTGTGTACAGACATTTTCATGAATATTTATATGTTTGCATGCTTGCTTGTGCATTTTTTGTGTTTGTATATAATAATAATAATAATAATAATAATAAATAAATAAATAAATTTTGTGTTAATAGCACACGCTATTAACGTTAACATAAACCTGACAAAGGGATTACCTTGGTTTGATTTGTGTTTTGGATGGGCTTTAAGCTTCGTTTGTTTTTTTGGTGTTTTTGTAAAAGACATTTTAAAAAAACATTAGTTCAAAAAATGGAGTTTTCTAACGGATAAGCATATATAAAAAGCTTTCTCAAAACTACAGAAAAATGAAAAAAAAAGGATTTATTGGGAACGTGATTTGACGAACCAAACAACACAAAAAAAAAAAATTTCTCCATTTCCAAACGGAAAAGGCAAAAAAATGCTCAAACAAACAAAGCTTAGGTAAGTGGCTAAGGGCCGTGAAGGAATCAGATAGAGGGAGGATTGGAGTCCAATTTTTTGAGGTCAATAGAAGGAATCAGACACTGGATTGCGGGCTTCAATTCCTTGATGACGGGCCGCCGCGCCGGGAAAGTCAAGCAAGGTGGAGTGGAGGTTTAGGGAGTGAGAAGTCAAAATTTTTTTTTAAAAGGCATATAGTTTAATGTATATAAAGTAAAAGCATATGTACACTAGTTCAAATATTCACAAAAAAATCTTGGTTTTAGTGCCTCCAATTGGCATATAATCATTTATCAATGAAAAAAAAAATGTAAATCATATTTATGATAAATGAGTGTACATACTATCAATGAAAGGTTTTGGATCATCATAAATATGATTGAGAGATCATATGTTCAAACTAATAAAGTGAGAAAATAGAAGAATTTAATCATATGTGTAATGCAAACCTAAGAGGTGGTAGATTTATGCAATGAAAAATCATATGTAAAAATGAAAGATTTCAATGGAAGGATTTTATTATATGTACCATAATACTTGATTAGATGTACCTTAATAATAGGTACAAATATGCTTAGTCATGGTGATGTATTAGTCTTTATATTTAGCCTAAATATTTATAATATGGTACAACAGGGAATCTATTATGCCTTTATAGAGCTTAATGTCCAATTTGGAGAAACCACTTAAGTAAATGAAAATTAAACTATTAAACATCGAGACACCTTTTGATGTAATGACTGGAATTTCCTTAAGAAACTCAGCAATTAAGCGTACTCATCTTAAAGCAATTCTAAGATGGATGACATACTGGGAAGTTATACCAACAGGATAAAACCGTGAAGCTCTTAAGTCAAAGCAGACAATATCTCAATAGTTAAGAATTTGGGCTGTCACATTTGGCATCGGCATCCTTATCAAAATTAAAACCAAACATCCCATGAAAGCTCTGCATTTTATTAATATTTGCAGTGAAAGGCTAACATTTGCACTTCCTCAAATCTCTTCAATGAAAGCTGTGCTGCAACCATGAATGAGAAAAACAGAAAAAAATATAGAACCTTGATCATAACTGATAGATACAGCCAAATAAATAGAAAAGCATCAGTTCAGAAATCAGAAGTTTTTATTTACAACTCAATAAAAGTTCAATGTAGAGGTCCTGATAACAATTTGGAACATCAAATATGTAATATGCTCAAGCAATATAATTTAGGAAGCCTTTAATCCTGGAACTTGTACACCTGCAACACCTCTAAAAGCATGTCTGGTTACTTCAAATTAAGTATTTCATGGTCTCATCAATAATAATAGGGAACATAAACTGCCACAACAACACATCCCTTCAGTATTTTAAACTAGGAATTTTAATATGATCCACAATAACCTATATTTAATGGATTTTCTTGTCACAATCAAATTGTACAATAGCAACTAATCTTCCAGGATCTGCTGCTTCTCAGTCTCATTGGCATTTGTTGTTAAGCTATTTTCAGAGAAGCTTGCCGTGTTATTGATGTTGCGGCATTGCGATAATTGTTGCTGAAGGCTCTGGACAAGCGAGTTAAGTCTCTGAATATTTTTTTCTTGAGATAAAATTATCTGACACAGAAAAGATGAACATAGATTGTAATAATGGAATTAAAGTCAAACAAACTCAAAGCAGATACAAGTGATCCTCAATTCGAGAGGATGATCGTTCTCTCCCAAATCTCTAGACAAGGAGTCTAGAGCTCAAGACGCCAAAGAAACTTCAAGAGAACACAAATCAAGCATAACATAAACCTAAAACACCTCCTCCTATTTAATACAAACTTTATAAATCAAAACTCCCTCCAAAGCCCTAGGTGCCCTCTCCTTTCCCCCTTTAGATTCAATTTGAATAATGGGACCACTATTGTGGGCGGCAAGGAGAGAGGAGGCGGTATTAGCCTGCCTCCTATAGACATAAACTGGCCCTGGGTGGGCCGGTTCAAGAGTTGGAGTTGGAGCCGGTTTAGGAGGAACCGGCCTAACATATTACTGCTGAGTTAATACTTGGTGCCATTCCAGATTATAATAACAATCATACGGCTAGGTGAAATTTTCTCAGCAATTAAGTATCTTGAAGAAGTATAATCTAGTTAAACATGGCGCTCAGTTTATATTTATTCGATAAAAATAGTCTCCACAAGCAAGAAATACCAGGTTTTAGAACAATCAATGAGAAGGGTCCGTTTGGTGCAATTAGATCCGTTTATAAACGTTGGTGTAAGTGTGAAAATATATACTTCTTAAAAAGTTATTCTGGATATTATAAACAACTCATTGCACCAAACGGACAATAAACATTTCTCAAAATAATGGATTGAAAAAAAGATGCTCAATCTGAATGCAGATAATTTTAAGAACAAGATTTTCAAGATTTAAACTTATTTTTATTATCCACCATTCTCTTATCAAACCAATGGACAATAAACATTTCTCACTGCCCCCTCATTTAGCCTACAGAAGCCTCACTAAAATCGTAAATTCTCTCATCAACTTATCAGTACAACCAACACAACCCATTAAAGTCTCACTAGCACCAGAAACTCACCCATCACCTTATAAATACACCCAATCTATTCATAATGAGATTCGAGTTTACACGAGAGAACAAAAACTAAGAATGGGAGTAATCAATACATCTACAACAGGTCAAAGAACCTAAACCCGGTTTAAGAACTAAATAAATTCATTGATTATGATATTAATCTCAACTATCATATTGCCTTAATAAAATGAGTGAGGTCATGCTCCAAACGCCCTATAAATGATTTTATGACTTATAAAAGAATTTCACCTAAATTTTGTATTTTGAAACTTGAAAAAATATAACATCCAAACAATGTTTTTAAAGCTTTCAAAACCCCCAAATATAAAGAAAGCTGTGATAAGTATTTTTGGTCTTAGAAATGAAAGATGTGGGAAGCTTATGAACTTCCACCACAAAAAAAAGTCATTTAGATGCAAATGAATTTTTACAATTAAATATAAACAGATAAGAGCATGGATAAATTTAAAATCCGACTTCTTACCAAAAAAGGTACACCGAAAAATGGTATTGAGTATAAAAAACTCTCTTATTGCCAAACTCAACATAATTCAAATTTTGCTTTCTAGATAACAAATTTGGATTGGCCACTATCATCTTGAAATTAAGAATATTCCTCTTGATGGGAAACTTGAGGAAGTGTACATGTAAATCTGATATAAATTGGAAAATTAAATAAAGACCAATAAAGTATGTAGACTTAGAAAACTCTATATGTCCTCAAACAATCACTATGTGTGTGATTTGGTGTATTCTCCATAGGTACACTCAGTGTCAAGTTGATCACACTCTTTGTCAAGAGCTCGTCTAAAAGAAAAAGAGTGGTTCTGATTATGTACAGGAGCCTTTGAGGAAGAGCAAATTAGATTCTAAGGATTTTTTACAAGAGAATTTAAAATAAAAAAAAACTGTGAGAAATATAAAATAATTTCTTGTTATGAGAGCAACACAATCAAAACATGGTATTGATCAATGCGATGCGCAAGTATTCATTTTTTACTTCAAGACAAGCGCAAGAGAAACGACTCTCTTATTGACTAAAGTGCTCATAACTTAGATAAAATTATAAATTAAATGAGAGATTCACTAACAATTATAAAATATGTAGTATTTAATAGATGACTTAAAAGTTTTTTTTTTTTTTTGGGAAATACTTAAAAGTTGATATAGAATAGAAAAGATTTGCAATGTACATGCCTAACTTCAAGACAAACTTCGAAAGTGACCAGTAAATTGAAATTTCTAACCATTTTTTTTTATTATGCATAGGAATTAACAAATGAATAAAAATTTAAAACTAATATAGCAGTTTGCTAAAAACTTCAAGATTGTATAAAAATACATTTAATTTAAAAAAAAGACTAAATTTAAATGCAGTCTCTACTTTCATAAAGCAAGCTAAAGGAAATTCATTAGTCATCATCCTAATTTTCATTCACATTATCTCTATCTACTTCAAATAGAATTGCTTCATCTTCAAACTTCCCTTCTTATCCTCCTTATGAGACAATCTCATTTTGTCTTTCTTAATTAATATAAGTGGCTGTAGGTCGAGATGAACTAGCGTGGATGTAGGTTAGGGGTGCAAACGAGTCGAGTCGAGCACGAGTCAGGGGGTGTTCGAGTCGAGCTCAACTGTCAAATATCGAGCTCGAGCTCGAACTCGACTCGTTCCTCCATAAATGAGTTTAGCCGCTCGTCAAGCCTCAGGCACTGTTCTCAAAAAATTTCAGGCACCGTTCTAAAAAAATTAATTGGCGGTATTTTACAACTTTAGTGAGAGAGAGAGAGAGAGATTAGCAGATTTTTTGGATTTTCCGTTTGACAGAGAAAATGTGCAAGCATTTATTTTTCAATGGCCTGTCACTGTTAGAGAAGAGAGAGAGAGATAGCAACAACAACAACAACAAGCCTTTATCCCACTACGTGGGGTCGGCTAAATGAATCCTTTTTCTCCATTGTGACATATTAAAAGTCAAATTCTCGTTTAAATCTAATCAAGAAAGGTCATTCCTAATATTTTCTAACCAAGTCTTTTTAGGTCTACCCCTACCTTTCTTAACATAAGTCAAATCTAATACCTCTACTCTCCTAACCGGGTCATCACAAGGCCGCCGTTTTATGTGACCAAAACCATCTAAGGCGACTTTCTCTAATCTTATATTCTATTGGAGCTACTCCAACCTTTTCACGTATATGCTCATTTCATATCCTATCTCTAAGGGTAAAGCCACTCTAAGCTCGGCTCACGAGCTCATAAACGAGTCGAGCTCGAGCCGGCTCGGCTCACTTACACCCCTAATTTAGGTACAGATGAACTAACCCTCATTGTGGATGAAAACTTCTTATTTTTTTCAGCTAAATCTTATAGAACATCTTCAATTAACTTCTCCTAATGCCTCTTCAATTTGTCTTCAAGAGATATCTTCATCACCAAACTATTGCGCATCAACATCCACTATTTTTCCAATTAACCACTCACAACTCCCATCAATAGAATTCAGACTAATTGGATCAATAACAACTTTGAAATTGAATCCTATTTTTTTTAATTTGGCTGTATCACTGTATGTGATTAACACTAAATCATTTACGCATTTTTTATATAACTGATTTCTTTTCTTTGTATGAATCATAATAAAATGTATAAAACATATGAATTATTTAGTATATTCAAAATCAAGAAATTATTAACCTGTTCGAAAACACTCAAGTTCCTCTCACATATACAAGCCCTGCAAGTCAATTTTAAAATCTTAATTGAATAAATAAACATTAAATATTATAAGTTATTGACTTGTAAGAACATATCTGGAGTGAATATCTGTAACCACTTGAAGCGCATTCTCTCCAGTATTCTCTATTTCAAAATCAAGGAGTTCAAAGAGCTTGAATGTTGTCTTTATATGTTCAAATGGATCTATGGACTCCAAGAATATTGTACTGGATGGTGAATTAACCAAAAAAATTATAATAGATAGTTCTCTATGATCAATCCACCCATTTGATATAAGAGTGCACCTCTACTCTTGCCTGATTTTTTTGTGCTCCTTTACATCTTTAATTGTCAATCGCATTTCTGTTTCAAGTAGAGGGACTCGCAACTCAAGATAAGACAGTGGTCAAAGAGAATTCATATTGTGTAATAGCCTCCAACTCTCCAACTTCACCGCATTGAAAGGGATGCTTGCTTGATAGAACCACATAACTATGCATTCTACCATTCTATCCCTTATTTCCTTATCTATAATTTCTTTTATTCCCATTTGTCTCATATTTTTTCTTCTTGCAACCTCTTTTCAGGCTCTTGATACATAAAATGATCCAAAATACTTCTTTTTTTGTGTGTTGAATGTTGATATTTTCTATTCCAGAACTTGATTCAAATGATCCTTTACCACAATGCATGGGCATGACATTTGAAGATTCGATTCTTCAGTGAACTCTACCAACCACACATTATTTTCTCTAAAAAACTTTATTTCAATTGTCTTTATAAGTGTCCAATTTGTCTCTTACATTTAAAGACACTGTCTTGCATTTTTCCACATTACTCCTTTGGTTGATCCATAAAGACCGATAAGATGCTCCTTAGCTCAAGATATAACTCCATGTTTCTTTTTCATGATAAATCAAGGTTTTAAAAGTCAGACTGGACTGGATGGTTCTTAAACCGATTATAAGACCAGTCTGATCAATCCTAAAAAACACTTCAACATCAAATGAGGCTGAACTGGCCTGAATCGCCGATTCAACCAACAAACCGGTCCAAGTTATTTTGAACTAGCTGGTACAATTTGCCAAATTATTTAAATAATTAAAACAAATAATTTATTACATTAAAGAATATATTTTAAATCATATTCATAATTTATAAATTAATTTAAATTTAAAATACTTAATTTTTTAATAAGCATGATATTCTTATAATAGTTATTTGCCCAAAAACATCAATGAAGCATCTTCATATGGCTCCACCACTCAATGTGAGTTCTTAACATATGCAAACCCAAAAGTTAAAAAAAAT